TGCCTTCATACTCCACAGGCGTACCGCAGATAAGTTTTCACAAGGTATAATGAACTAGCTGTTTTCCCGCAACTTTGCCGCAAAATTATAGCCTATGACATCCGTGATGAAGCTTCCCGTAGGTGGAATCTCTCTGACACTATCGGTCCAGTAGTTTTGGGGCAAATTCGATGCAAACAAACAAACAACCAAATCTTTCTCTTTTATAATATAAGTATATCTTAGGTATTAGAGGTCCGATGGCGTAGTCTGTTAGTGCATTCGGTTTAAATTGCAGTGAAATAAACAAGGACCTACATGAATACTTATTTTACATAACTAAGTACAAACGACTAACTCATCGCTAGCAAGCGATTTCTTCCAGGCAACTTCTTCCAGAAAATAGAAAAATAAATAACTGATTGTGCATTCAACTAGATAAATAATAATAATTTTAAAATATCAAAAACAAAAGAAGGACAGTTTCAAAGTACGAATAAAATTCTCAGACACAGGCGACAACCAGAGCGCGAGAAACGAGAAAAAGATAGAAAAATTATAAATAATAAAAGAATATAAGAATTCTACCAAAATACTTCCCACGCAGACGAAGTTGCGGGCACAGCTAGTCTTAAATATGTTGATAGCAAAGCTAACATAAGATAAAAAAAACCGGCCACTTGCGAGTAAGACTCGCGCACGAAGGTAGCAAAAGAAATAACTTTTTGTTTCCTATGGAGTTGTTTGAAATTTTCGAATTAAATACAATTGGTAGACTATTGCTAGTAAACTTGTAAAGCTAACTTAAGTGTAATAGTTTTCCTTTTAATTTCGTTATATACAGGTACTACTGCCGTAACGTTTGAATTTTTACCGATGCTATTTAGTTGGTAGAGGGCGGAGACCCTTAAACTAGCTCTTTAAAGCTTAATCATTTGTATCTTATTAGGTTAGGTAAAAGTTTTTCGGAAAACGACCTTCCTAAGGTCTCAATGCTTTTAAAAGACCTATCCAACTATGTCCCACACTATGGGGAAGCCAAAATAAATTATAATCAACACTACATATTGGGGAGGTACATTTAAAAAAAATTACACTACCATTTTGTCGCCGTAATTAACGTGTATTTGTGTATACTCATGCTAAATTACAACTTTACTTACGGACAGGCGGACATGGCGAAACTATAAGGTTTCCTTTTTTAATCATTTTACATATTAGGAAGCCTTAATAGTGATTTCTTCCTGGTTACCTAGATTGAAAGAAGTAACAATATAAATTGTAAGGGTTTTCCAACTATCTACATTTTTATCCAGTAAGCATGACCGGTTTAACTTGGCCGAAACGTCGGCAAATATAGGTAGGTGGAAAAGCGTATCTATTCGTTTAAAAAAAAATATTGATGGAGGTAGGTTATGCCCATTACAATATGAATTCAAATAGTTAATGTAGATAAGTAAAAAAAAAATTAAATAAATAAATATATAAAAACTAGAAAATATACTTTCTATAATGTCTCGATATCTGATCGTTGTGGTAACTTAATTGTTTCATATTTATGTATTACAAAAGCTTTAGCTACTCAATTTGTGAACTGAGCAATAAATGGGATATCGTCTAATATTTATTTATGTACCTTTTCTGTTATTTTATAAAAACAACGTCGATCTCATCTTCCTATTTAACTCCATCCATAAGGAAGTCAAATTAATAAGCTTTATAACAAACATCCTGCATGATCTATTATAGAAAAACATCGGATCGGAGCCAGTCCCAAAATTATAAAACTAGTCAGTCTTATATGACTAACAGCCAATTGCACAAAAGTCCATTACAATTTTCATTAGTTTAAAGCGACATTACACATACGAATTTGACATTCATTAGCGCGCTACTAATGAATGGCGCAAATGAACGTCCTAACGGACGTTTGTGCAAATTGGACAAAAATTGGACGAAATTGGTGCGTCCATTAGAACATTTGTACAACTGACCGATTGTATGATTGTGTATACGAAACAACCATAAAGTGCATCACACACTTTAAACATGTTGACACCGATGACGATATTTTTCCATCAGCATCTCGTAGCATTGGCTATGTAGTGACGTAGCGTCGTAGCGACATAACAGCGTAGCGACTTGCCTTCTTGTGCTTGTATATTACGTAGGCTATGAGAAACTTTGTTAAATTTAACCAATTATGCATTGATAATGCTATACCAATTATTGTTTTGAATGAAAAACGCTTGAAAAATCTACAAGACCCATGTACCCCGAGATGGGATTTCCATCTACTAGCATTTTTATATTTCACAAATGTGCCTTCAAAATGCTGTACTGATAAATATGTACTGTTAATATCTTCTTATATTATCCAGACAAATTAGAAATTAAACTTTAATAGGGACAAGTAAAGTTATTAATTAATTTTTCAAATGAAATACCATTTTTGAATCGACACTTTAATCAGGTATAATAGTTTTGACAATATCCACCTAAAATAGTGTCACATAAAGATTTTTATAACTAACAATAATTTAGTGAGAAATGGTAAATAATACGCACACAGAAATTATAATTTGGTTCAACAAAGACTATCTTTAGATTCCATATGGAACAATTAATCTAATATTAAAATTATATCTTAATTAATATAAGTACCTGCGTATTACTTGTGCATTACAAATTAGTAATTTTACCTAAGTTATTAAATTATTCTTATTATAATCGTAAAAAAATAAGTTCATAATCACAGAATTCAATAATCTCTAAACTGGAATTATAAAAATTGTTCGTTTTAAGATTAATCTAAAATCGAATATGCAATAATAGATAATCTATATAAATAATAATAAATGCCATTCTTTGGTATAATGCATTAGTTGGAACTTATTGATTTGGAATTTTTTTGCTATTAAAATGATTTAACAAAATTTTTAGGGAAGGAAAAAGAAAAAAATAAATTTGTTAGTACATTAAAAATAAATAAATACTTTATGATAGTCTGAGTGTTTAAACTCTCTGTGGACTTGAATGGCTGGAGGTTAATTATAAAGAAGCTTTAACACCGAGTCAATCTGTGCGGCGCCCGCCCAACCACAAACAAATGCACGTCCATAATCGGTAGCAAATCTCGCAACCACCACCAACTTCAACGGACAATTACTAAGAGAACTCATCCATTTATTACGCGGGTCGATCATATCTCATTTTTTCTAACAAAGGGAGGGAGTCTTGATAGTTCTTACGTAAGTCCTCAAAAAACCCGCAAAGCGAAGTGTAAAGGAAAAAATGACACAATTCTTTTATTCCTTTTTCTTTTAATTGCGTAATAAATATTAAAATTACATGAAGAACTGTCAAAAATCTTCTTAGTTCATAAATTGATAACGCCTGGGACGTCACACCGATGCATTTATTTCAAGTGGGCGGGCGGTGCACAGATTATCTTGCAGTTACTTAACTGAATGTGAAAGTACTTATATCATGATTTTACAGTTACCATTTTTAGAGGTTATAAGTACAGTTCTATTTAGTTTTACATTTCTATTTCATGCATTCAACATCGATTAAATACGGAACATTTATAACATTGAATGCTTATAAACTAAATTGCAAGATTTTCATATTTAAGGTGTGGCAAACAATATAGCAAAAGATAATTTCTGTTCTTCCTACAAACGTTTTTCTTACTTCTGTAAAAATAAATTGACAATTTATTCTATCTAAATATATATAACTCAAAGGTGACTGACTGACATAGTGATCTATCAACGCACAGGCCAAACCACTGGACGAATCGGGCTAAGAAAGGATTTTGATCAATTCTACCCCGAAGGGGTAGGGGATGAAAGTTTGTATGAAACGATGTCAATTTTAAAACTATCGGGCTGAGACTTTGCATGCATAAAGCTACTACGACGTAAGCATCCCCTAAGAAAAGGATTTTGATAAATTCCATCCCTTAAGGGATAAAATATGGGATAAAACTTTATTAAATATTCGTTAGAAATGCTGCTCAAAGTAACTTTACCACGCGTGCGAAGTCGCGGGAACAAGCTAGTATACTTATAAATTCTCAAGTAGGTATTACATCAAAGTCATTTCAATCTTATCCGTAGTTACTTTCGACTTTAAGGTCACCAATATGAATGTTTGATTTCGTTCCACTACTGCATATATACATAGATAAATCCAATTTTAACTTTTAAAATTGAATATTATGTGTACTAACAAAGTTAGAGCACAGTTAGAACATTCCCTTGGATTGTGGAAGTTTATGTATTCTGGTAAGCTATTTACGTATTTTAAACACTTTTCTTCGAAATAAATATAAATATAACCTTGTGATTGCAAAACTGATCAAAAATAATAAATAAATTAGAAAATGAGTTACAATTTGCAAAAACATTACATGATTTTATTGGACAACCTTTTAGTTCTTGTAGCTCGAATATGCTTTCCTTTCCTTTTTAAATTCCCTTATTATAAGAAAATCTCATATATCTATATGAAGAACAGAAATTATCACCCCTTTTTTATGGCACTCTCTTCACGATTATTCTCTCTTTTATGAACAAATTAATGTTCCTTCTAAGTAGGGTGACCAGAACACAGAAACTAGTTTAGTTATTTAGACGACACAGGTAAACCATAAGTATATGAGAAATCCCCTTATTTCAAAACACGATTGCTTCGAACTTTAGTATGCCAAATTTAACGTTTGGAAACTTACGTATGTGTGCTTAAACTTTTATATATCGATGTGCAATAGTGATTGTAATCAAAAGTGTCGACAAGACGATGAAATCTGTTCCTATAAAAACTGTAAATGATGGAGTCTAATCTCTTTCTGTGTTCTATAAGCGCAAAGCCACCATACCCTATCGCCACACTACAAGGAAACGTAACTGCGCTATCACAGATTAACGTAACATCTTGACTTTGCGACGGTACAATAAGAGTCACTATGGCTTAAACATTTTTAGAACATCATCAATCATGCCAGCTAATAGCGCTTAGGCATGCTCCTTTTCATACTCGAGCAACTCGCCCATATTGTCTATTGATATCTCCAAGAGGTGTTTCCCGGCGAAGTGCAAGTAATCCTGCTTCGGGTCATCGGCAGAACGCTTACGAACTGTAATAACAAAAGATATCATTTTGTACATAGAGACTAAGGAAAAAGTTCACACTACTATTAGAAAATAAGGAAGAGACAGAGAAGAAAAGGTCACAATAGTAAAAAAACAATATAGAAAACTTTATGCTAAGGAATCCTGATTAGGACTGAATTAGGTATCATAAATCGTAATTTTTTTTTTGTCCTAGCTCTAAATACTTCTGAGAAACTACTTCCAATTGCAGTCTTCCCTTAGGCTGACCAGTTGGACCACAGATCGATAATTCAAACTTTTTTATTTTATCTTAGCATTCGAACGCTCAAAAACAATTATAACAATAAATTAAGGCCTATTTGGGCAGCAATACCTTAAAATATTTCATCTGTACTATTTCTATTTATTGAACGTTAAACTAGAAATGAAATCGCATAGAGCATGGTGAATCTTTGTTTGCGAAGAACAGACCTACCAATTTCAGCAATTATTAATTTAAACCCACCCTAAGGTGTAAACTACAACACAATAAGTAAACAAAACAGCTTTCTGCACTTCGGTGACCTCTGTACCTTGGTGAGCCACACTTTTTGTGTCTTCCTGAAACAGATTGTACTTAAAGGCGTAACAAAAATCCCCGGGGACATATGTATTATGTTAACTGTCGAACTTACTAATATCGGATTGGTCGTTCTCAAGGTGGTAGGTGGGTCGATCTACGCAGTGTTCAGCCAACACTGAACTCAGCTGATGCAAAGATGCTACGGCGGCGGGCAGCAGTGCACGCAGGCGGCGCTTCACTCGCATCACGTCGAATTCCTCGCCGTTCTCGATGTGCAGCAAGAACACACCCGGCGACAGCACCGCCTCAGGGTCCAAATCCATGACGAAGCACCGCTGTGAGTCCACGATACCTGATCGATCAGATTTTAAAATAAATTCGCAATTATATCTTAATACTTATCTGTGAAAATAACAGTTATGGTCTAGCTGGGTACCGGAGTTGGTATATTTTTCAAGGCTTTTCTTGCATAGAATAAATTATTCTCATCAGACTATCTCTTGACCTTTATTTATTTATTTATTTATTAGGTAACACAACAGACATTAATCAAAATATAAATGAAATAATAAGTAAAAACTGTGTAGTACTAAATTAATATCCTAAAGGTGTTTACACAATGAGATATGATAAAGAAAAAACAACAAACTATTATTATTACTTTTACTAATATGAAAGAAAACAGAAAGAATGAGTATAAATCAATCTGGATGGTTAAAAAGATTCGACATTTAGGTCTACCACAACTTTCCCAATACATTTTTTGAATTTAAAGAGATTGGCATTAAATATGTCTAATGCCTGATTAACTGGGAGGATCTCATTATAATTTCTGCACATACGAGCGATGGGATTATGATAAGATATGTTATTTCTATATGTCGGTATGACAAAAGTTGGTATGACAAAAGTTGGTTTGACCTTTGCATTTGCATTTATGTTGTTAGATTATTTTTGAGTATTTTTATTATGAATTAGTATTATGTTTACTTCTACACTATGTAGTATTATAAAGAGGTAAAGTATCTAACTTTGTTTGTTTGTAGTGGTAACCTTCGGAAACACTGATCCGATCATGAAAATTCTTTTACCTACGGAAAGTTACACCACCACAACTAGTATATATACAATTGTAACATCTAATATATAGACATGTATATATACAAATATAAAGACTAGTATATATACAATTATAACATCTAATATATTATATTTGATTAATTTTGCATTCACAATGCTATACTTAAAAATATTTTTAATGGAAAATGCTTAAAAAACCACTCGAACCAGTAACTAGCCAATATCTAGTGCTATCCGGGCGGCCGCTCTAATCACCGAGCTACCCGGGACCTTACAGGACTTATGAATTTTTGAAGTAGCAGGGACAAGGTGGATTTTTTAAGCATTTTTCAGTATTACATGTTTTAGATATAGTATAACAAAAAAAGAATATTCCATCTTACCCGTAGCGTTAGCATTGAAATCGTGAATAAATTCCACATTCTGGCCGCTGTTAACAACGGAGATCTTTTCTACGTTGTCATCGATGTCAAATCGTTCCATTAGACTGTTCAAAACTTCACCGGCGGGGTCCTGGTCTTCATTATTGGTGAAGAGTGTCACCTGGGGCTCTGGACTCCAGCGTAGCGGCACACGGTACGCGTTGGGCGCCTCCTGAACTTGAGACGAAGCCTGAAAATGTCAACAAATACCTATACTTAATCACATCATCATCATCGTCATCTCCAGCTTTTTAATGTCCCCACTGTTGGGAATCAAGCCTTCCCTATAGATAGAATGGGACAAGAAGAATGGACCATGACCACCTACAAGCCAACAGTGTGGATTGGTATGCGTTAACGTCTGCAGTTAAAGCCGGTACCGATGGCTTACCAACGGCTCCAATGGCCTTCCGAAGCCCAAAGGAGCTCTAAATAACAAATTTTTGGTCACCCATCCTACGACCGGCCCTTGCGAAAATTTCTTAATAACCATGTTGCTGATCGAACGCGCTAACCATTGCGCCATCGAGCTCCTCCTATAACTTAACCAATTCTATTTACGAGACATATATTTACTCGTGCCATTTGAATACACAATAAACGTATAAGGCTTTATCCATATGACCCATCGATACCGAACATATGTAAAATAAAACATTCAACCGATGATCGATCTGTGCGTAAAACGTACTGATATATAATGCGCAACACGTAAGTTGATGGCGATCTCTTGCACAGTTTCCGGTCTCCGGCATACTACGTTGCTATGGTTACGCAAACCCCGATTGATCCCCGTACCCAATTGAGACCCGAAAGTATGCTACTGCGCAGTCGACATGTCTGTTCAACTAACGTGCTTCATATTATACTTCCGTATATCTTCCGTCAGACGTGCATCGACATGTTTCAATTCAGTACAACGCTTTACCTTTGCCATGTCCAACGGAATAGTGCAGTAGCCCTTATAACGCGTCGGTACATAGACTTTCGTTTCGCTGAAGAAGACAAGTGCCAAAATGGCGCCCAAGAGCATCAGCAAGGTGGTAACGAAAGAGATGGCCAACATTGCGCTGCTACACCTCGATCGGTATACGACCACTCGGGTTCGTGGCCGCATATCAGGCCTTAGATGTGTCTGCAACATAAGGAGTATAGAGTATTATATTAAGCTCAATTCTATTCAATATTAACTCAAACATCACTCAACATTTTACTTCTAATGAAACTAGGTTTCAACTGAAGGGGATTCCTCATCGACAAGTTTTATTATTCTCTCAAACCAATTTTAATGTATTAATTATTGACATGTTTTTATTTAACTATTAATGATTTATACATTTTAAATTGTCCTACCCGACAGGGTCATATATTTTCATGCAACTATATTATTGTAACATCTATTTTACACAGGTATTTGTCAATAAATGTTTTAGTATTGAGTATCATTTAAGGATAGCCAATCATACTGACTACCTACTGGTACAACGAGGAACAAGATTGGACCTAACATTGACCCTTGTGGTATATCATCTGTCGGAACGAATTCTATTTACTATGTATTATTATATATTTACTGTTACAAAGTTGACCTTTTATACACATAAACCTGTGACGCCCAATATTTGGAATTCGTAAATAAAGTATGGAGATTACCAAGATTTATTTTTAATGCTGTAATGAAAACTGACAAACAAATAGTAGTATGTGTATTTTTTTTTTTGTTAGAAGTTTTATAAAAAAATGTTGTCATTCTGCACTTCACTCCTTAAAAACTTATGTGCCTATTTTTATACTCTCTACCAAATTATATTTATATTAAACCAGATAAATAAAGTCAAACAATTTGTAAATTGCTAGAAATATTTTCGACTGAGAAATATCTGGCACTTTATTGAGTTTGCTGTTTATATTTCCAATGATAGTGTTAATTTTTCTGCTTTAAATTAGATTATCTACAGTATGTGCAAAAACGACAGGAATATCGTTGTTGCACAAACTCCCCTTTATTATTTATTCATCTATTTCTTCTGTATCACCATAGGTTGCCTGGAAAAGATTGCTACATGTAGGGACACATATGTCTACATGTACATGTACAGTTTAGTTTGTAAGATGTTTATAAACAATTTGTTAGCGTCTGTAGGACAAAGACTTTTTAACTAGTCGCTAATATACGGAGTTACAGAGTGAACGTGTTTTCTTATTTAACCTTCTGATAACATAAATAGGGTCCGACACTTAATACCCTAAAGTGGTGACCGGTGTTATGAACATTACGTTTTTAGTTGTTTTGAACATTTTATTTAATTAACATTTATATCACTTTTATTTTTTTATTAAAAAGTGCAGTATAAACAATGAATCCACAAAATGAAAGTTCTCAAGCGCGTGTTTCGGAACACAACCCCGAAGTTAAGCCAGAGACTTCATCATCTTTGGACTCCATCACCATTTCATCGAGAGTTCCTGATTTTTGGTCAGACCAACCGCGACTCTGGTTTGTCCAATTTGAGGCTGTCATCCAGTCACAGAAACTATCGGACGCCGCTAAACAAAATTTAGTGGTTACTAAATTAAGTAAGGCTGCGATTACACAGGTGAGCGATTTATTATTATCACCACCAAGTGAGCACAAGTACCAGACCCTCAAAGATAGACTACTGCATGTATTTGAGGAGTCGGAGACGAGGCAGTTCCAGAAGCTTCTTGGTGAAATGGAGCTTGGCAGTCAAAAGCCTTCGCAGCTCTTACGGCGCATGAAAGATCTGGCCCGTGGGAAAATACCAGACGCGACATTACAAATCATGTGGAATAGCCACTTGCCACCACCAGTGCAAGCTGTGTTGGCCGTTACACAGGAGATAGATATAACAAATCTGGCTGTAGTGGCTGATAAGGTCATGGAGGCCACTGGGCATTCCAATATAGCTGAAGTATCAACCAACAGCAACTCCTCAAAGCGTGAGTCAAAAGTTACATGTTCGGAGCAATAGATTTAATGATAGATAATGATAGATAATGATAGATAATAGATTTAATGACATTATATAAAATTGTAAACTTTAAAATTGAGTCCTCTAATTTATTGTCTCAAATTAATTTTAACACTAATTATCGCACAAGAAGACCTAAAATGTTTACACTTAATGTGTATCTTAATAATAGTTCTTACTATAACCCTATATCTAGAATGTGCCGCCGATATAATGAACTCATTGGTAATGGATCGGATATTGATATTTTCAACTGTAATACATTAACTTTTAGGAGAAGACTTTTTAACGCATTGGTGTAATTTTTTACTTTTTTTTAATTTTTTACTTTTTTTTTTTAATTAATATGTAGTGACTTAGCGATTTTATTCAAAATTCAAAATTATAATTATAAAGAATGTAATAGTTATTTAAGTATATAAATGTATGTTTTTGTTTAATTTGTGTTTGCAGTATGTACATGTGAAGGGTCGCAACCTTGATCACTGTAAAACATACTTTTAATTTGTATTTTCACCCGGTTGTCACCTGTTTTGTACATCTTAATAAATAAATAAATAAATAAATAAATAAATAAATAAATCCGACCTGGCGGCGTTGGTAGCACGTCTCAGCATAGAAGTGGCGGAGTTAAAGCGCTCTCGGCAAGCGGATCGTGGTAGACCGTTCAGGGGTAGGAACTACAGTGCTGGAAACAGATTCAGTCGGGCACCGTCACAAGGTCGAGAGAGAGAGAATTCCAAAAACCGACAAAATACTAATTGGCTTTGTTTCTACCATTATCGGTACGGAGATAAGGCCGTAAAGTGCATTGAGCCCTGTAATTGGCGGAAGCCCAAGCCACAAGAGTCAGCGGAAAACTAAGTGCGATACGGCCGGAGGCGGAGGTTGGTATCGGGTTATCGAATAACCGCCTATGTGTTAAAGACAAAAAAAGTGGACTGAAATTCTTAATTGACACAGGTGCGAACGTTTCGGTTATTCCGGCATCGAAAAAGTGCGTTTCCGATTACAGTGCGAGTGATAAATACAAACTATATGCAGCTAACGGAACCGAGATAAAAACTTATGGTATGCGTACTTTAATTTTAGATTTAAATTTAAGGAGAGCATTTAAATGGAATTTTATCGTAGCGAATGTTAAACAGCCGATAATAGGAGCGGATTTTTTAAGCCATTATCAGCTGTTAGTCGACATGAGCGCGCGCAAGTTGGTAGATCAAATTACACATTTAAATGTTCTCGCCTCTGTTGTAAGTCATAACGAATGTGAATTATCTATTAAAACTGTTTCAGGTAATAGTGATTGGCATAATTTATTGCTTTGTTACCCGGACATAACGAAAATAGTATCTTACAAAGAGACACCTAAACACTCTGTGTGTCATTATATAGAAACTACGGGCCCACCGGTATACGCTAAAGCCAGACCTCTTCCGCCTGACCGTTATAGGAAAGTTAAGGAGGAGTTTAGCCACATGTTGGAATTAGGCATTTGTAGGCCATCTAAAAGCGAATGGGCCAGTCCATTACATGTGGTACCAAAGAAAAATGGTGATATTCGACCTTGCGGTGATTACAGAAAATTAAATGCCATAACAAAACCGGATCGCTATCCGATTCCGAGACTGCATGATTTTAAATATTTATTAGCGGGAAATAAAACTATTTTTACGCGGTTAGATTTAATTCGTTCTTATCATTTCGTACCGGTTGCCCCGGAGGATATTGAAAAAACTGCCATTATAACGCCCTTTGGACTGTTTGAATTTCCGCGCATGATCTTCGGATTACGTAACGCAGCTCAAACATTCCAGCGTTTCATGGATACTGTAGTACTACAAGGGTTAGACTTTTTATTCAGTTATATCGATGACCTTATTATCGCGAGCGAAAATGAAAGTCAACACAAAGAGCATTTAAAGACAGTTTTCGAAAGATTTGATAAATATGGAATAACTATTAATCTATCTAAATGTGTTTTTGGTCAGTCAACACTTGAGTTTTTAGGATTTGAAGTGTCTACGGAGGGTGCGCGACCACTTCAAGATAAAGTACAGGCTATTGTAAAGTTCCCGAAACCCGAGACAGTCGATCAACTACGCCGTTTTCTCGGTATGTTAAATTTTTATCGTGCACACATTCCAAACGCTGTTCAATATCAATTCGAATTGAATAAATATTTGCACAATACAAAGAAACGCGATAAAACTTTGATTGTGTGGACTGATAAGGCTGTCGAAGCATTTAAGAAGTGTAAGGAAAGCTTGCAAACCGCCGCTACACTGTCTTATCCTTTACCAGATGCTAATTTAGCGCTGATGACCGATGCCTCGGATACTAGTGTAAGTGCTGTATTACAACAGAAAAATAACAACAATTGGCAACCATTAGGGTATTTTTCAAAAAAACTTTCACAAGCTGAAACGAAATATTCTACTTATGATAGGGAATTGTTAGCAGTATTTATGGCTATCAAATATTTTAAAAATTTAGTGGAAGGCCGTGTACTGACTATTTATACTGACCATAAGCCTCTCGTTTTTGCATTTTCAAAATTAAATAACGACAAAGAAAGCCCTAGAAGAATTCGTCAATTATCTTACATTAGTGAGTTTACCACCGATATTCGTCATATCAGCGGTGAGCAAAATGTAGTCGCAGATACACTCTCGCGGATAGAAACGATCAGTTGTCCTACATTACTCGATTTTAGAGAAATAGCTGAGCAACAACTAAGTGACGAATACCTACAGCAAGCGTTGAAAGCAACAGATAGTAAATTACAATTTAAACAAATATTATTGCCAGACTGCGAAAAATATATTTATTGCGAAATTTCATCTAACAGAATTAGACCATATTTACCAGATAAATTCAGGAAAATTGCTTTTCATTCGGTTCACGATTTAAGTCACCCCGGTGTTAAGACTACCAGAACTTTAATTAAACAACGTTTCTTTTGGCCTAATATGCTTAAGGATATAGCGAGTTGGACTAGAACCTGTTTTAGTTGCCAGAGATCAAAAATTAATAGGCATACGATAGCAGGATTAGGAGAGTTTGAGCGTGCAGACCGTTTCCAACATGTTCATATAGATATTGTAGGCCCGTTGCCTACATCGGCAGATGGACATAGATACTGCGTAACAATGATAGATCGTTGTACCGGATGGCCGGAAGCTTTTCCAGTTCACAATATTACAGCTGAAACAGTAGCCAAGGTAGTATTTGAAGGCTGGATATCTCGATTTGGAAGCCCTTCGAAGCTTACTAGCGACCAGGGTAGACAATTTGAGAGTGATCTTTTCAGTCAGCTAATGAAGTACCTAGGTATTTTTAAAATGCGAACAACACCTTATCATCCGCAGAGTAACGGCATGGTTGAGCGATGGCATCGAGCACTAAAAGTGTCACTTACGGCACGTTTAAACTGCAATAGTAACTGGGTGACCGAGCTTCCAGTCGTGTTGTTAGGCTTACGAGCCGCAACCCGCAGTGACAGTGGCGTTAGTGCAGCAGAGTTAACTTATGGTAAAACAATTCGTTTGCCAGGTGATTTTTATGAAGATTCCAAATTAAATTGCTCGGATTCGGAATATTTACAAAATCTTCGCGATTCCATTAAAAGTTTGAGACCTAAACCGTCAAGTAATGGTAATTCACGTTCGTTATTTCTGCCTAGCGAATTAAATAGTTGTAAGAGTGTATTCATAAGAAATGACGTATTTCGTAAATCTTTGCAACCTCCTTATGATGGCCCTTACGACGTTGTAAGTCGGAAAGGCAAAACTTTCGATATTAAAATAGGAGATAAGACGAAAACTATTTCAATAGAAAGATTAAAACCAGCATTTTTTATAAATAGTGATAAAGATTTTAGTTATAGTTCGAATTTTAATAAGAGTAACGATTCTAGTTTAAATAACGAGGTCACTTCCAGTAAAGCTCTACAGCCGAGAACTACGCGTAGTGGCCGCGTTATCAATACACCCGTACGTTTTACAGCATGACGTAATACATACGTACCTATAGCGTAGCTAGTCGAACGGACGAAGCATAGAGAACAGTATACGAAATACGAAGCAAGCGGAAGTCTTTGTAAATTAAATAATAAGTAGTTCTGTTCTCAAGATTTCAATTTCATCGATATAGCTCTAGAAATAATAACAGTGGGTACTGATTTAAACAAAGAACTTTTGTCAACCAATTTTTGTACTCAGCTTACAAGATCGCCGCGTTCCCACAATTTGTTAATGTAAATATTACTCATTTGTTAATGTAAACAAATCGATACGATACGTGAATAGTAGTGAATAAGTAGCATAGTGAATATTAGGTTTAGTGGTTGTGGAAATTATAGGTTCAATTCCATGTTCAACATGTATTTGTAGCGTATAATAAATATAATTTTAGATTGGTTAGGATTTAGATACTATTAAACAGTAATTTTGTTTAGTAATAAGCTTTTCATAGGAAACATGTAAATTAATTTAATTTGTTTACTAATAAGTAAGAATTTGTATTCGATAAAAATTAAATGTTTTATATGACATATTATTTTATATTTACTTTAATTACTTGTCATTTATTTAAAAATTGTTTATATTATTTTTATTGTTCTTTATTGTACTGTTCTTTTACATTTCTTACAATATGTGATGTGTACTTTTATTTTTTATTGTAAGAGGGGGAGTACTGTAGGGACACATATGTCTACATGTACATGTACAGTTTAGTTTGTAAGATGTTTATAAACAATTTGTTAGCGTCTGTAGGACAAAGACTTTTTAACTAGTCGCTAATATACGGAGTTACAGAGTGAACGTGTTTTCTTATTTAACCTTCTGATAACATAAATAGGGTCCGACACTTAATACCCTAAACTACATGGCCTTATATATATACATTCTTTCAGTTAAGTAGCGTACTGGGGGCAGGGGGCGGCCCGCCCTGGACCACATTTTAGGGAGCGGCAAAATTTTACAGTAAACAATAAAATATATTTTTAAATATTTGAACCAATTCATATTTTTAACGCAACTATAAATTCGGACCGAATGAAAAGAGCACGGAATTTTTCATTACTTTTTCTGGCAACACCATCTATACTGACTTACGGGAATTCCTCGTATTTTATTTGATTGATTGTGCTTTGATTGTTTATGAGTTATAATCAGCAAGAATGACTTCTAATATAAATTAAGTAAAATATAAGTAAAAGTTTATTAAATCCCTTTAAGAAAGTACGTAAGGAAAGTAAAGATGCTTTGACAATTCAAAGAATCTTCAGTTGTTTAGTTCATCTTATTTAGTTCAACATTTTTTTATGAAGATAAGTCCGTTTTTTAGGATACAAGTCCAGTGTGCGAAGGAAAAAGTACACCCAGACTATTAAAAATAATAATTTGTAAATCACACGAAGAATGGTCCTTTGTGGGGATCGAACCCACAACCCTCGATGCGTGGGCAGTTGCATGGCGACAACTCAAACACACTAAATCTAACTGTATAATGCAAAATAATGATGACAGTTCTTGCCGAAAAAATCTTTTAAAATTAATGAATATAATGTATACTATAATTATATAAAATACTTATGAAATACCTAATTAAGGGCAGCAAAATCAAAGAACAGACACCCACGGTATGTTCTTTGATGTTTTCTTTGGTTTTTTCTTTATTATATTTGATCAATCTTGCATTCACAGTGCTATACTGAAAAACATAGTTAATATTTGTTTTTTAAGCATTTAAGAATGCAAAATTGATCAAAATAATAATATGAAAAAATTTTCATCTTTATCTTCTTATTTAAAGTTTCAATATTTATAAAAATATCTCTCTCCGCTTGTTGGATTGCCTGAACATTAATGAGAATACGCTCTGTAGTAGCGAAAAAGTAAAAAGTGCTTGAAAAATTCGTCAATCCTTTTGGATCCTGGGTAGCTCAGTGGTTAGAGTTGTCGCCCGGATTGCGGAAGGTCATGGGTTCATGTCTCATCTCATAGTGCCAGGGACAAAGCGGATTTTTAAGCATTTTATGTTCAGAATATTTTTATTATATAATTTCGCAAAATATTTGTTTCTTTAAATATTATTATTATTGTATGAACTGAGCTTTAAACAATTTATATGTACTTAATTCTGTAAATATACCTACTTAGTTCAACGAGGAATATAATAACACTTTAGAAATGTTAAGGAAGTCAGTTAAAATTATAGTTTTTCCTCTTATATAGCAAGAACAACGGCCATACGCAACAAGTTGGGTAGTGCGCAATGCGCTACAGATCGTTCAAAATGGATGAAGAGATGAGGAAGGTGTATTTACATTGTATGTTTTGCGCTGTTACTTACATGTTATAATAATATCGTTTTGTGTTTATTCACTCAATATTCAATATTATTCGTAGATAAAAAAAATCAGATATATGAGAGATCTTAAATTAATATTTGAAATTCATAGGCATCAATAAAAACATTAATTTGCTTATCAGTATCGTTATCTCATATGTTCTAAATAAAGTCTTCGTAATATCTTTTCTTTATTTAGTATCTAATAATTTAATAAAAATAAATGAACATAACTACCATATTTCGATAACTTTCTATTGTGTTATGTTTTTACGTTAACGAAACAGAAAGCGCCTTATGAAATAACAACTGCAATATCTTACCACATCGTATCTCACTGCACCAACCTCGAGTGGTGTATTTATTATTTCTGGTTTCTTCACCAAATCGTTTGTTTTCGTCAACACCGTCATTTTCTCAAAATAATTAACACCAGGTACGACGTGATAATGCACCTAGAACTGACTATTTGAGACCTAAATAAATCAATACTAATCACATACGCACTTTGAAGCTTATTTATATTTCCTGCGCCTCTACCAGAGCGCAGAGAGAGAAAGGAAACACGTCAATATAATAAAACTATTGCAAGTTGTAAAATTATTAACAATATTTTATAATTTGAAATGCTTTTAAGCTTATATGCAGTTTCAAATATTATTATTAATTAATAAAGAAAATGACTCGTAAATTATAAAAATAACAAATATCGTTTAAATTATTCGATTTAAATATCCGAACGTATAGGTGAAAATACCGTAGTCTGTGGTGCCTTTAGAAAAATAATTGTCAATTGTCTATGGATAAAAAAAAAGAAAGAATTTTTGAGGAAACGGACGATTAGTTTCGTGTGTTGTAGAATATTCTGTGTTGAAAAGAGGTTAAATGAATCAGCAACGCAATAAGTGCCGTTAAAACATGTTTGATTAGTTCCCGCTGCTATATTTTATGTTAGTTCTTTGTTTCATTGTGTAATTTCCACGTTTTAAAAAACTGAGCACAAATAAAATGGCGACTGACCAAGTGAAAAACCGCATGCATGTATTCAAGAACACTGGAAAAGATGTCGATGTAAGTAAAAAACTTTCATAATTTCACCTTATGTTACGCGATGTCTTCCTTTTTTCTTTCAAACAGTGTACTTACCTCACGCACATGTGATTTTTTAGGAAATGCGCAGGCGGAGGAACGAAGTGACAGTTGAACTAAGAAAGAATAAAAGAGAAGAAACTTTACAAAAACGTCGTAATGTGCCTATCAACGACTCTACAGACGAAGATGAGATTGAGAGGACGTTGGCTTCCACGAACCTCAAAGAGTTGGTGATGAATGCAGCCAACGCCGAGAATCCTGAATTTCAGTTGGCAGCTGTACAGCAATGTAGGAAACTACTCTCATCGGACAAGAGTCCACCTATAGATGAACTAATAATGAACGGCATCCTTCCCATCTTAGTGCAATGCCTTTCACGAGCAGATAATCCCACCCTACAGTTTGAAGCATCCTGGGCTCTCACCAATATAGCATCTGGTACATCAGCACAAACAAATAAAGTGGTCCATGCTGGTGCAGTGCCACTGTTCTTGCAGCTACTAATGTCTCCACATGAAAATGTTTGTGAGCAGTCAGTGTGGGCTTTAGGAAACATCATTGGTGATGGACCTGTGCTGCGTGATTTTGTCATAGAAATGGGAGTTGTGAAGCCTCTATTGAGCTTTATCAAACCAGAGATTCCTATTTCTTTCCTACGTAATGTTACTTGGGTTATCGTCAATTTGTGCAGGAGTAAAGATCCACCACCACCAGCCAAAACAATCTTAGAAATTCTTCCTGCTCTCAATGTGCTGATTGTACACAGTGACACAAGTGTAAGTATAACATTTTCTTAAATTAGGGGTACTTATGAATATATGTTATAATGTTAATTGTAGTTTAATGAAATACTCTAACTACCTGTTTATTACTTTTCATATTTGGCAACTTTTGAACTACTGAAAGTCAATAGATTAACTGTGTCATTTTTTATTTCAATACACTCATAAATTTTTTGTTCACTACATTATGTGCATATTGTAGACATGAGGCAGGGTGGAATATGATACTTCCCAGTTAAAGTCAGACTTACTCTGTAATTGTGAAATAGAGGTTGGCCTTAATTTATTTTCCTACCCTTTTTAAATAAATAATCCGTAACATAATTTTGCAATCACTTTATTTTTGTATTGAAAATACAATTGTTTACTTCTTACTCTTACTTTAAATTGATCACCAAAATCTCTTAAACTCCATCCATTGGAAACATTTTGGCAGCATTAGTCTATTGGATTCTCATATATGGAAGGATAATTGATACTATATAATAATTTCATAATTCTTATTAATAACAAAAGAATTACCTACTTTCAATTTTGCATTTATTGGGGTCACTTGTCTGACCCTCTGATAAAACCTTACTGATAATTATTGTTCACAATCAATTTGTTTTAACAGACTGACTTGAGACAATTTATAACACTTATCAATATCATAAGAGCCAATCTAAATACCCATGTTTGGTAATAGTGCCGATTCTATTGTACCACTATATATATATTTTTTTAATAAGCTTTGTTTTAATTTTATCCTGTAATCAAAGATAAATGATTTCACTCTTATAAGTTTACTAGTACTATTACAGTTATTTTCACTATTTTAAATTCAGTTTGACACAACTAAACCTAAATTCAGTTTATGCAACAGAATTAGATCAATATGATGAATTTGGAATGCCTGTCTAAATTACTTTTAATAAAGAAGAGTGATTGATAATAAAGTTTCCCAAGTTGCAATATATCATTTTAGGTCTTTAGTAGTTACTCTTTAGTTTCGACTATGTAGTAAAAAAAATGGAACATAATTTAATAATTACCATCTACATGATAATTTATTTATTACTGATTTATTTATTTATTGAGTATCAATGGATGACAAGTTATTATTAATATTTGTAATTGTGTACCTGGATTTCTATTTATTTTAAATGCAATATTTAAATAATTAAAATGGTGTATTAATTACAGATTTTAGTTGATACAGTTTGGGCCATCAGTTATCTAACGGATGGTGGCAACGAACAGATCCAGATGGTGATAGAATCCGGTATTGTGCCAAAACTGATACCGTTACTCTCACATAAGGAAATGAAGGTGCAGACGGCTGCTTTGAGGGCTGTCGGAAATATTGTCACTGGTACCGATGAACAAACGCAAGTTGTGCTCAACTGTGATGCACTTTCACACTTCCCTGCATTATTGACACATCAGGTTGGTTATTCAATGTCAAGTTTATTGAATAAACATATTATCATACATAGGGAAATACTAGCTACTATCTACCCACGGCTTCGCCAGTATTCGGTTTTTCCGCCATATAAACTTTCTTGTTTCTTTTAATTTCATTAAAATCAGTTCAGTTGTTAAACTCAAAAATATAACAGACACACAACAGACAGAGTTACTTTCGCACTTGTGATATTAGTATGGACAATTCATTATAGAAACAATAACTGAATACACTAGTAACTAAATCAAAATGACAAAATATTGATTTAATTATTTGGTTATTGTGGAACCTTTAGTCTTTGTTGAGATATTTGAAGTATATATTTGTGTTTATTGCAATCAAAATTACTTTTACTACTAATATTATATTATAACTGAACTATAATTCCTACAGAAAGAGAAAATCTGCAAAGAAGCAGTGTGGTTCTTATCAAACATCACGGCTGGTAACAAGCATCAGGTGCAGGCAGTTATAGATGCTGGTCTCCTACCCTTGATCATTGAGAACCTACGGAAGGGCGAGTTCCAGACACAAAAGGAAGCGGCTTGGGCCGTCTCCAACCTTAGTATCAGTGGCACTAAAGAACAGGTCGCTACGCTTATCAACTGTGGCGTCATACCACCATTCTGCAATTTGCTGAGCTGCAAAGATACGCAAGTTATCAATGTATGTATTTCTATGTGTTTTATTTAGTCCTCATAATGAAAGCAGAGTGGTTCACACGCTAGTTTCGATTCAGGGTCAAATGTAGAAAATGGATTTTTCTATTTGCCTACCTTCATTGTCTCGGATACCCCATAATACGGGGGTTTTACCTACTCATCTTGGAATCTGAGCTATGTATGTGATATTGTCCGACATTTATTTATTCATTAACTTGGTTTAAAGATAAGCTTAAAAAAATGATGACTAAAATACCACTGGTACTTTCAACAATTGTCATGTAATGTGTTGTTTCATACAAGATTTAAATGAATGTCGTCAATCTGCAACATGGTATTAAACAAAAAGTAAACTATTTATGTAAATAGATGCTGTTCAGTTTCTAATGGAAAGAGTGCATCAGGCTATTCAAATTTGTAAAATATCTAATTGGTTCTAAACTTAATGAATAGTGTGATATAAAAGAAAAAATTATATGATCTATATCTTCACGCTGTTTGTAACTGTACATATTTATTCGTCAAATAACCTCAGTTGATTAACTAATATTCTCTTTTTTTATATATCTTTATTGTAATGTTGACTCGTTTTCCCTCAGGTGGTGCTAGATGGTTTGAGCAACATGTTGAAGATAGCCGGCGAGAACGCCGAACAGGTAGCCAACATGATCGAGGAGTGTGGGGGCATTGACAAGATTGAAGCGCTTCAGAGTCACGAGAAAATCGAAATATACAAGATGGCCTATGACATCATTGAGCAATACTTTGCTGGAGAGGTGATGACCATTTTCTTTATAATTCTATTATTACTGCTATTTACAAGTTGATGCGACAACTCTATATTTCAGTACTTATCCTTCTTAATAAATTTCAATAGTTGTATGAAAAATTTAAAAATATCAACCGTGTTAACATTGAAAGAGCCAATGGCAAAGTTCCAATTTTCGTAAATGTCTGGTTAATGTAATGCGTGTTTGCTTACCTATTGAAGAGTTCTAAAAGCTTGTTGATTTATTTTTTTCAGTCATTCTTTTAGTGAATACATTTTGTTATTCTATTAGCATTTCACCAATCAGTGATTGTTGGCAATTATATTTCATCTGTCCATCATCACGACCGAATCATTGTCATTACCATTTTTGTTACCTACCCATGGAATTGTCTCAGGCCCGGATCTACGATTTTTTTTAACTGGGGCAGAAACTTCGTATGGCGCCCTACACTAAGCCCTACGCTCCATTAGACTGGATCTTATATTATTTTAATGTGTATGAAGAGATTTGTATAGCTCGTGCTTTTTTGAATGGCAAATAGATATTATTTAATGATGTGAATGCCTTGGGAAAGTCCCCAATTACCCCTTCCTTAGATCAATTTGACATTTAAATCGGTTGTATAAATCGACGAAATCGTAAATAATCGAGGATGTGGTGTTGTCATCATATATTATCATTATTTTATTAATTCACAGGAGGAGGATGCGACATTAGTTCCAGCGGCGGCGGAGACGGCGTTCCAGTTCGAGCCGGCGGCCGGTGCGGGCCCACACGACGGGTTCCGCTTCTAGCGCGCGACTCCGCTCTGGGCCCGTGACCCTGGCACGCGGGACCACTCGCCACCGCCGCAGTGGGCCCGCGGACCACTCGCGCGGGACGACCCGCTACTCTACCGCATCGAAGTGCACGCTCGACCTCACTAGCGCTCTCGGTCGCCTACTCGACTGGTCGGACGATACTGCCGACGATCGGTTCTATTTTGTACCTATCTATATATTTACAATCAATTTAATCTTAATTTACTTATTCTGCAACGCTGTGGACATTCGCCGATATTTATGGATTAGCTGCATCGGATCTTCTAATAAAATGAATCTGTCCCGGCTTTGTGATCTTCCGCGACCTTCGAAGTTTTCTTCGGAACGGCCGGTTATTTGATTAGGTCGCCAGGCCAGAGAGGGCTAGTGAGGCAGCCGCGGCGTCCGGTGTGTACGCGCCTTTATATTAGTGCAAGTGCGGTCGCCTCGTGAAGTGTCGTTATAAGACTATTGTGATGTTTGAAAGTGTTTTCATCTTTGTTTTTTTCGATTTCGTAATGTAATTGACGGACGACGGGCGCGAAGTGGGCGGCTTCCGTGCGTACGGACGCGTACGCGAGCGATGTACTCCGCTTCATATCGATGCTTTTGATAATAATATAACATAGTATTTATGTTTCGATTTTAACTCCAAATGTAATATCGTCGAAGACTTCAGGACTAGGATGGACACCCATAATTTACGGTATAAAAATTATGTTCTGACATTAAACCCATTTGTATCTATATACCAATAAATTCTGTCCAATATAAATAAATGTGATTTTTATTAATGTTTAAAATACATTTGTTTAACATAATGAAGGCAATGATTCTAAACGCTTCGATTCCAGGCCCTTGTAACTTCTCTGAAAAAGAAAAATATTTTATATTAGTTTTTTGTTTCTTCGAACAGATATAAAGTTTGTACCTATGTTAAAAGAATCGAAAAATATAGCTGTCTATTAAGCCCCATAAAAACTTAGTCTTGCGACAGTTGAAATTTATAAGCGTTTTCTTAAGGATAAATATCAATTTAGCATTATGGCCATCAAAATTGTGGGCTATTGTTTCATTTAAATGTTTTTTAACAAGGATACAATGATTAAATTGGTGCTATATATAATGCTTAAATTTAGGAATTACACAGATAATTATTGGCGACGTCTTCATGTCAATATTATTTACTGTTTATAGGACCACTAAACTAAAACAAAAGACCGCATATGAAGCGCGAGTGTTTTTGTAGGTCGATAAATTCATGGCTCAGTTACACTGGTCGACGGCGTCCGCACACGGATCATGGGCGATCTCTGCGGCGTCATCGCATTGGTCAATAAAACCGAGCTACAGAAATCGTCCGCACTAAATGAGCCATCATCACCAGTCCTGTTACGTCCCCACTGCAGGGGCTCCGGCCTTCCTTATGGATGGTTAAGGAGGATGGGCCATGACCCTCCACGCTGGCCCAATGCGGCTTGGAGGGTAAAATGAGCCATAGTGACAGTCAATAGTCATAGAAAATTGTCCAGGTCCATGACCAATGCAAACAAGTACTTAAGTACTATTAGATACATGACCGTACTTTCTTCACTTCGCACGCGTAACACTTGATGTTGTTGTAAGTCGACTCCGGCGTATCGTCTTGAAGTGAGCGCATTGTTACGCGACTGTTCAGCGATACGGCATCATAAAAAAGTCCCACTTTATGTTGGAAGCTGCAACAATAATAGAAGGTAACGCAAAAAATTATATACCCAAAAATGAGGGAGTATTTTAAAAAAATTGACCCGAAATCGAACTAGATGTCGCTACGGTACTTTCTTGATTTCTCCGTGAAATGAAGGAATGACAACCCTTCCCATTTTCTTTTATGTATAGGAGTAAATTAGTTTTCAGAACTCGATTAACAACTCTTATTCCATTTGTACTTTCTCGTATTTGAATTGATATCTAAGTTTCGAACTTCCGTTTTTTTTATATGTTAGTTAAAAGGATCGGAAATGACTTATCTTTGGTCCATTCGTTTCCTGCAAAAATCAACTTTTGCTAGAGTGGCCATCTAATGGAGGTGCTTTTTAGTGCTTTCTTTTTTTTTTAAATACTTCCTCATTAGAAAAACGATTGCCCATATTTAATTAAAAAACAAAAGAAACTAGTTTTATTATAGCTTGGCTAAACAAAATTCTCGTTTCATTCGAGGGGACGTCTTAGATTATACGGAACGGTTGAATAGATATTTTGACTTTGGTTGTTGTAATTATTATTTATATACATAAGCGGCATGATACATCAGCTACTTTGTTTTTTTTTTATAAAAATAAACAGCCAGTGTCACTCGACATGATGTAATCTAATTATACATTCATATTCATTAAATCTTTCAAAAGTTATGGTGAAATAAAGAAACAAACAGGCCAGGATCTAGGGAGGGCAGTGGGTAGCACCTTTCCCCGGGCGCCAAAATCATTAATACCTACAGTTAAAAAAAATAATTTAGTAGCCCAAAATATTTAAATTCATACTCCGCCCTTACAGGGAGGAGGGGGTTAAGAAGAGCGCAATATCAAGTTACTGCCGCTGTTGGAAAACACCTTAGATCCGGGACTACTATATTTTAGACAATAGACGTGACATTGATGAGGACAAACTTACTTTGGCAACGGCTTCGGCCAGTGGTTATCTAAGCGATTCACTTTCATAATCGCGTTGAGTCGCTGCAACAAGCTATAATTGTCCTCTTGGATTTTGCGTTTTCTATCCAACTCCCGTTGAAACTTCTTCAGCTTGACCGCCACATGCGGCCTCGCGGCCGGAGCTCGGTCATCGATAGCCGGCAAAGCTGAGCGGACCTATCCATAATTATATTTTTACTGCGGAGGTCAAGCTAGCTTACTTTACCTTTATTTCTAACTAATACTTCCCTACTCGCACCTGTACCGTCCTCTATTCTAATTTCGTAAAAAGTGAACTACGATAAACCTAGCCTATTTATCATAAAGTCGATGCTTAAGGCCCTATTCTACCTCCGCTTACGTTCCCATATAAATATACATCGAGAGTAAAGACACGGTCGCTTGATTTCATACATTTTAAGCGAAGAAAAAACACAATTATCAAAAGATAATACTTTAGATTATATCAAAACCTATTTATATATATATTTAAAATGAAATATATTAGTCGTAAATTCGATCCAAAAAACCTATTTGGAGTCATCTTTGCATTTTTTTTTCTATAAAGCTAATTCTAGAAATTTATGTTTCTGATTTTATCAAGCAATCATCGATCATGTTCAATTTTCATAAAATGATTAATATTTGGCAAATATTAGCATAGCCTTATAATAAAATTAGTTTCAGAACTAGTAATTTTGTACAACCACGCCTTAAAATGAATTTGAAATTGATGAAAATCACAGATTACCCCGAGATGGGATTCGAACCCATAACGTTTAGCAAAACGGGCGACTGCTTTAACTCTAAATAATCCACAGGAAAAATTGTGCGCTAGTTAAAAACTTAATATTAAAAGAATGCAATCAAATTAAACCAACTTTTTGGATTACAGCGGATTCTCGCTTCTGTAGCATCTTTATTAGAGCATGTCTTATTGACAAAATATATTTTTCAAAGATCAAATACTTGTAACTCACTTTAGAGCGATGATCCTTGAACCTGCGATCTTCCCATGGTTGGATGAGCAGCTTATCGCGTCTCGACAACATGTCAATAACCTCGTCTGGCTTATTGTGGTACCTTAACAACTGTTACATCAATGGTATCCATAGATACAGGCCATCACACTAATTGTTCACAACTTGTAATTTCAAAATTAGCTCGGTGGCGTAGTGGATAAGCGCCGCGGCCCGCGATCTTAGTCGTTAAGCAACTTTCGCTAGGGTCGGTCACGTGATGGGTGACCAAACAATTATTATCTCGAGTTACTCCGTGCTTCGCACGTTAAGCCGTTGGTCCCGGCTGCATTTGCAGTCGTTAATAGCCTCCAATCCGCATTGGGCCAGCGTGGAGGGTCATGGCCCATCCTCCTTAACCATCCATAAAGAAGGCCTGAGCCCCTGCAGTGGGGGACGTAAAAGGGCTGGAGATGAGATAGAGAGAGAGAGACGGAGATGAATTTCAAAATGTTCTTCATAACGGCAACTATTATTTTTCAACCTCATTCATAGCCTGCCCTGCGATTCTGTAAAACTGCAAACCCGAATTCGAATTCTCTCAGGTGTCCGAATTGACTTCAAAAAGAGGCATACGCTCAATCTTTAATCGGTAATAACGTTTCGTAGCATAAGTGAAGTGAGTTTGAATATATAGGATTAGAATATCTGAGACACGTGTATTCAATCAATTCGAATTCGGGTCTGGATTTTACAGAATCGCAGGGCTGGGTCGGAATTTTAACTCTGATAAAGGGGTTGGAAATAATAAAACAAGATTGCAAATTAATAAATAAATTATAATGTTAAATATTATACACTGCACTTACAATGGTATCATATTTATCATGCTCATTACATCAGAGAATATACATTGAAAAACATTCAAACACATGGTTACAATACAAAAAAATATATATATACTTTGAGCAAATATAAAAATAAAATAAAAAAAAACAACCGATTCACTCGCTAATAGTCTATTATTTAAAACATATAATTAATACATGTATGTAGTCCGATTTTCTGTTAGGTGGGTATACTTATTACCCACTATTTAATTGCTAACTCGTGTAGATTAATAAAAGCTTAGGAATGTAAGTCAGCGTTAATATCCGGACATTTGGCAATGTTCATTACTCGTAAAGCTTTCAATATTAATAATTATTAGTTTGTTTGCGTCTTCATTTTATACATTATTAATTAAAAATCCCTAACCGTTAACTACCTGTGACACTCTTCCGAGATACTCATAAGTATCCTTTTTAATTGATTATTATTTCTGATGGATTAAGTCTAGCATTCAAGGCGGTACAGTGACTTAGGAAATTAATCCACTTCTCTATATTATTAAGCAACAAAATTGCATTCTGATGGAGCTACACATTGAACTCATAAATAACGTCCGAGAGAACCTCACATGCTAGTCTTAAATTAACTACAATTATCTCTTCTAGCCTTCATACTTTGTGCCGCCAAGATTTTCAAATACTAATACAATGCTTCCCTCGTTTATGCGGAAGACATTATTCACCAAATAGTTGGTGATGCGTGTTGTGATAGAAATAAGGGTGAGATTAGGTTAATTTCGCGACTAAACGCTGTCAATCGAGTGTGTAACAAAGTACGAGAGATAATTATCCGTATGTTTTGTTCCTAACTCTTTATTTTATTTTGTCCTAATAAATATCTACGTTGAGTTTGCCTCGCATTTAATATCTAATTACAATATTGAGTATAAAACGTATTAAATACATCAAAAAGATCTAGTAACTTACGATCACTGATGCGTTTTGAAATACGACTTGAAATTTATTGTTGCGACTTTCGGATAGTTTTATAATGAAATATTGACGTACAGGTTTATTATTCCTTCAGTGTTTTTTTTTGGGACTCGAAAATATAAAGGGTTATATGTACAACATCAACTTCCATGATTATATAGCTAACAATAAATAGTGCTCGTTCTATGTCTTTTGATAACTTGTTTAATTTTTATCTCATAAAAATAAATTATATTTTATTTACCGCTCAAATGTTGATAACTCGACAAACATCTAATATGTATGTACTTCACATAGCGCGTATGTGTAGCGGAT